AGACCAAGGAGTAGGTGGGTGGACAATATTAGAATGGATCTTAGAGAGAGAGGATGGGATGGTATGGATTGGATAGATCTGGCTCAGGATAGGTACCAGTGGAGGGCTCTTGTGAACACGGTAATGAACCTTCGGGTTCCATGAAATTCTGAGAAATTTTTGAGTAGCTGCAGAATTGGCTGCTCCTCCAGACGGGTTCAGCTCCATGAGTGATTAAGGGGGGGTTCATTTATACATACGCTGTACAATTCGTGGCACTCCTTTCCTCCTGGCGTAACGTTTTGCCTTGGACCGAAACGCTGAATTTTCTCTCGGCAAAAATGTGCTAACAGGCTTTATTATACCAACGGAAATTTTAATTTGAAGTGATACGCACTTTTGCATGGTCCCTGACCGCAGAGAATTCTCAACCGCGTGTTATAACCGCCTACCTGTACGTACTCGTATACGGCGACGAAATCCATTATTGTCTACAGGTAGGGAATTCTACGCTGATAGCATACATCAGGACCAAGTTCATTGTGGTGACTCTACAAACAGCTGCTCAGTGACCGAAGAAATTACCATTTCATGGCACCCGCGACCTCATTGCATTCTTCTCACATAACTCATTGTCCCTTATTCTGAACTACGCAACTCCTGTGTTAGTTTCCCAGGCCTCGTCACGTGGGATATGTGGCGGACACAAAATGGCGCTAGGGCAGGTTTTCTCAAAGTACTTCGATTTCCCCTGCCAATCTTCATTCCACCAATTTCTCTACAATCACCATCATCTAGGATTGGTACAATAAGCCACAAGTAGCCAAATAAAAATAAAAATAATAAAAGAAGCCTGCCCAGATCCCGCCCCCTTCACTCCATTTCTCCCAACATCCATCTTAATATTCCTCTCCTGTGACTGACATGCCCTTGGTTCTTTACTATTGTCCTCAATACACCTCCCATGTGGATTTTAATAAACCCGCTTAGGCGAGTGTCTTAATGAAGCGGCCGCAAAAAAAGCAAAAAATCTACCCTCCCCCCCACACCATCTTATCTCTCTCTCTCCACGTCTTGCACTGCCGTTGGTTTTCTTCTTTTCATTTTTTTTCACAAAAATCCTACTGGTTTTGAACTAGGGACCTTCTGAACACTAAGCTGATGTCTTTCCACTAGGCCACCAGGGCTACTGAAATTTGTTTTCTTTTATCTTCCTCTTAAGCTACATCTTCGGTTATAATTCCAGACTTGTATTTTATAAAACTTTCGTTGATTCCGAACCTTGGAACTCCGTCACATTAGGCCAGTATTTTACCAGTAGGCCACAAATGCCATGGAAATGTTTTACCTTTAGTCTTCCTCTTATGTTACATGTCGCTATATAATTCAAGAAAAATTTCATTACAAAACTCCTGGTGGTTATGAACCACGTATCTTTGCCTTACTACGTCTGTGCCTTTTCTCTTGACCACCATAACACCTCGTACGCTAACTTCTGCGATCCACCTCATATTGTACGACTTTGTACTACATGCCCTGCAAACCTTATCTTCCTTGACTAGTGATTTTTCCAGGATTTCAGCCAACTCTGGTGCTGTCCCAGAACCATCCAGGACAAGGCCACAGTGCTTTCTAACAGAATGATGTACACAGATGTTCGCTGCCTTTTGTCCACCCGACACTTTTGCCTCCTTACGGCTGCTCATCCCGATCAACCCCTAGATGAGGTGCCAGGATGTTAATGGTCTTTGACCAAGGCTACAACTAAGACAACTTCTCTCCAGGCCTAGCTTGATGTTTCAGAATGTCACAACAGGGCTGACATTTTCTAATGGTTATCTTTTTAGAGCAGGCTTGTAGGGTGTATTACATTATGGACTGTTTTACTTATCTGAATATCCAGTAACAGACATGTAAAGTATAGCATGTAATAATGAAATGTGTATACTAGTTTATCTTAAACTATCTCAAAATCTCATCATATCTCATCACCAAAATCATGACATAAAGATAGGAAACAGATGTTTTGCAAATGTGGCACAGTTCAGATATACGGGAACTACAGTAACAAATGAAAATTTGATTCAGGAGGAAATCAAGAGGAGACTGAATTCGGGTATTGCCTGTTACCACTCATTGAAGAACCCTTTGCCTTTTTGTCTGCTGTTTAAAAATATAAAAATTAGAATATACAGAACTATAATTTCGCCTGTGATTCTGTATGGGTATGAAATGGTCTCTGACATTAAGGGAAGAACACAGACTGAGTAGAGAGACTGTAGTGAGATTAACTTCTGTATGGGTGTGAAGCTTGGTCTCTGTAAGGGAGGAACATAGACTGAGGGTGTTTGAGAACAGGGTGCTGAGGAGAATATTTGGACTGAAGAGAGATGAAGTGATGGGAGGTTGTAGAAAACTGCATAATGAGGAGCTTTATAACTTGTACTCTTTGCCAGATATAATTAGAATGATGAACTCTAGGAGGATGAGATCGGCACGGCATGTAACATGAATGGGGGCGAAGAGGAATGCATATAGGATAGGATGGGGGGTGGTATGATGGCACTAAATTAGCCGACAAGCAGAAATTGTTCAGTGGGTATAGTTCGCTTGTGGACTATAGGCCACGGAGTTTTTGTTTTGGGGTGGTATCAACTAGATCGATCTGGCTCAGGATAGGGACCACTGGAGGGCTCTTATGAACACGGTAATGAAACTTTGGGTTCCATAAAATGCTGAGAAGTTCTTGAGTAGCTGCAGAATTGGCGGCTCCTCCAGAAGGGCTCTGCTCTGTTGAAGTTAGTATACTACCTGATCAACCTGGCATTGCCCAAGCATAAAGGCACACATATAATGAGGTGTAACACACAGAAAAGTTGTAATGTTGATTGTTGATATTAACGTAAAGAAATATAACTGCAATACAATTAACTAGCCATTTATTTTTTGGAAAAGAAAATTAACTAGGGAACTATTACTGACATATAAAGTAAGCAAGGCTCCCCCCCCCCCACAAGCTATTGAATGGAGGAATCCTCGGTACACTAGGACAAGTGGTTCTTTTGCAATAAGCAGTAAACTGTATTTGTTGGTTTCCAACACTTGTGGGGTGGGTGGGGGGTTCAAGTGTCTACAACCTCCATAGGGAAATCCTTCCATCAACATGCCACATTAGCTCAAAATGTGCGGTGATGTGGAAATGTATAAAGTGCAAACAAACAGACATAACACTCTCTTTATTGCTGTACAAGATGTTTTTTTCTCATTTCTTTCTAACAGCTAAACAGCTTGCATATAACTATTACTAACTTTCAATTTGTACGTCTCTCTAGTTATGTCAATTGGAAAAACAATCAGTCTTGTGTGATCTGATCAATTTTCCTTCCATTATACATTGATTCAATAATATGGCAAACCTCTGAAAAATTATGTCTTATGCCCTCATGTATAATTTTAATAACTGGTGTTTGATTGTGGATCTATTTCAAGTGTCGCACAAAGTCATTATTTTTACACTGTAAGTAGAGACATCCTCATAATACTAAAGTTTGTAGGTTATTTTTACTGACATGAAGTAATCAGGAAGCCCCACTACTAATTTACCAGCCCAACTCAAACCATGGTAAGAAGCACTGTAATATAGCACACATGATTCAAGGAGTGAAGTATCAAGTGTCAGGACTTAATGTAAATATTTGGGAAGTACAGACTTTGGAAAATACCTTAAACTAATGTAAGCATGTTAAAAGATGAGACAACTAGAGATTTAAAAATTACTGGAGGGGGGATAAGGCTTTTCAAAGTAAACTACAGAACCCAATGTAAGTTTTGAGGTTTTCACGGCGATGACTATGAAGAAAGTTGTCTTCTGGGTTTAGGCGCCGTGTATTCTTCGTTTTGGCCGACGTTTCGGAGGAACATATCGCCTCCATCTTCAGAGCAGTTGAATGGCTTGGAATGCAGAGAGCAGTAGCATTCCAAGCCATTCAACTGCTCTGAAGATGGAGGCGATACGTTCCTCTGAAATGTCGGCCAAAACAAAGAATACATGGCGCCTAAACCCAGAAGACAACTTTCTTTACAGACTTAATCTTTAGTCAGGTTTCCAGCTGAAGGCAAATCCCCATTAAAGCTCACCACACATGTTGAATTATTCCTTATAAAGCCACTGATGAATACATAAGCATAGTTACAGAAGTACAGTTATAGAAAAACACCAAAAAGTAGTCTGTGCTAATGTATTATTTTCAAACCACTTCAGGAATTCATAACAAAACTGATTAAAAATCTAATACTTGGTAAAATTTTGTTCACTGTAACTTGAGTCATTTCACCGATTTTTCATGTATCAAAATTCTGTTCATCTGAACTTTTCAAGTTCTTACGTCTTAATCTCACATCTGGTTTATAAAAGGGTATATGATAAAAACCCGATACCAGATCCAAATTAAAAGGAGAAGTTTTTCTTTTGCTAGTCCCACATAACTCCATTCGACAATTAGATTCCACATACATGCCTTGTAATCGCATGAACCTTCACTCATATTCCTTCATAATCTAACAAAACATTTTAATTTATTCTGCATTAATGGAAACAATCAAAATGATTATTTTCTCAATGTTGATAAGTTTATGATCCAATATAATATTTTATAATGATGCATTAAACAATATGTCTATTTGCCTTTACGAACTGAACACAATATTGTGGTCCAACAGCAAAGAGCAAAACTACCATGGAAAATAACAAAGTGATCATTTCATAAATTCATCTTTGTCTGCTTCTTGTCTCTTTAACAGCACATTGGCCAAGCCATAGCTCAGGCGATTAGTCGCTAGCTTCCTGGGTTTGATCAAGTGGGAATTGTGGTGGACAAAGTGGCGCCGGGGCAGGTTTTCTCCGAGTACTTCGGTTTCCACTGCCAATCTTCATTCCACCAATTGCTCCACAATCACCCTCACCTATCATCTGGGGCTGGTACAATAGGCCAGAAGTGGCCGCAGTACAAGGGACTTAGTCCCACCCCACTAGCAATAAAAAAGTAACAGCATATTCATAAATATCCATTTCAATATTTCTGTAAATATTTTCATTCTCTTTAAATACACTTAATATTACGAGGTGCATACATGTGACTGATGCCCAGTCCCAAAGACATATAGACTACAATTATATGAAATAACATCACTTTTAACATTCAATAAATGTTTGTTTTAAATAAAGGAATTACAACATAATCAGCATGTCTACCCTGCTTGAGCTTGAAGTTCATGTAATGTGTCACATGATGGCATACGGATATTCTGTGCTCTCTGAAATAAATCCCGGTCAGCAAAGTTTCGTGCCTTCCATAACATTGTTTCCCCTGTAGACAGAGACAACACAATAATAAAACATCAAGGAGGGAAAAGAATAGTTAGCCTCCTTATTTTATGAGAATAAATAAGGTCATGGCATTATTCCTGTGTTTCTATCCCCACTCAAAACTTAAGTGAGTGTCTGCAAAACTCTAAAAGTTACCAGTGAAGAGGTGGGTACTCAATATTGGCAACATGCATTGGATTGACAATATCTGTCAGGAACAAGGAAGCAAAATGGTCCTGCCGCACAGGATGCCCAGCGTGTACAGTACCAATATACAGAAAATATGTGAATTATTAAACACTTTCAGAACACATTTTGTGGTTACTTTTTAAAATTTTAGAACAGAATCAACATAGCAGTGAATATGATGCAAACATGTTTCTGGTTAATAGTAGAGTGAATTTCCTGACTACACAACACGTTTTTTATCACATTATCACTACATGTTTCGACCTCAAGAGGTCATCTTCAGGTGTATGAACATGGCTGTATAATTACATGCGGTCACATTCACTTTTCACTCATTCAACCTTGTATCTTTTCCAGACTTACGCTCACTAATATATCGAGTTCTTTTATAAAACACAGGTTACAATTATTATTATTCTAATTTAATTGTTAAAAGTTAAAAGTTCATGAATCGAGGTTCAACTCATGTCACTGGTTACACTTTCACTTGTTTTTCGGTCTCATTTTTACTTACGCTCGCTACTGTATCTAGTTCTTTTTAAACTAGTTTAATTATTATTATTGTTAAAAGTTCGTGAATTGAGGTTCAACTTATGTTATTAGTTACACTTTCACTTGTTTGTGAGGTCTCACTGTTCTTCCGTGTTCTTTGATGTTGCTGGATCTGTTATCCAAACATGTTGTGTAGTTGGTAAATTCACTCTACTATTGATTAAACACACAACAGGATGCAAGAAATGATTAAAATGTTTCTGGTTCTTTCAGACATATCAATCGTATCATAAGATTTTTTGTGTGTACCATAAATAAGAGGGCTTGGTCAGCTGTCACATATTTTGCAATGACGATGGAAGCTGCTAATTTCTCCTATGCACTGCAAACCAGCCTGCCACAATTCACCATCCTCATCAACACAAAACATGAACCTAATCCCTTTAGTATTCTATTACTGAACACAATACCCTCTCCACCTGCTAAGAAGTACAGTCAAGTATACTTATTATAATTTTTCTCCCTATAGCATTGATGTCGTAGGTTTGTGACATATTCTTCCTCTACAGTAATCTCTAATCGCCGTAAACTGCCTTGATATTCAGTATGGAAATTCTCTTTGACAAAATATGGTACTTTCAGATTCAAGGTCTTGCGCTGAACTGGAAACTTCCTACATATGATAAAATTAAAAGAAATTAACTAAGTGGATAAAAGAAATATTTCAATTACACCAGTATGTTTATGACACAATCTTCAGAAACACAAGTTTTATCTGTAATTTGAGTGTACACAAAATATTTCTCATTAAAGTTTGGGAGAACACTTTTCCTACATAAACACTCGACATATTTTACCCAGAAACACAGGCCTGCACGCATCTCTATTCAAACATAAACATAAAGAGTTTTGCTAAGTGACATTCGAAAGCACAGGGGCAGAAGTTATACTCCAGTTTGAAGTATGCATTTTTTAATGCATCCATACTTTTATTAATTTTCATTTATTATAGATACAAACTGGGTCCTGCAAAGCTAATTACACTAAGATTATGGAGTTCTAGGATGTGTTGCCATGTAGTCTAATAAAGAGATACTAATACAAACCTAAAGACAGAGGTAGAAGATTCCTCCAAAATGTTAGTATCTGTGTACCATTCTACACAGTATCACATTCCATTGCAGTTCTACTGTTAATTTCATACAATGTTAACAGCAGAACAGAGGACTCTTCATGACCACTGTGGAAAGAACCTCAAATCCTACATAACAGTGTGTAAATTACTAAGCCTATATATCTCCAAAACAGCAGGTAATATGAGAGGCAGTCAAATGAAAGCGGGTCAGAAGCCAAAACACATTAAAGAACATTTCTTACCTTAAAAGTAATCTCCAAAACTGTTAATACATTTATCCCACTGGGAGACAAGACAGTCAATCCCATCCTTGAAAAAGCTTGTGGGCTGTCTACAGAACCACATCTTTAGCCAGCCACACGTCTTCGTCTGGTGCAAACCGATGTCCACGAATGTTTCTCTTCAGGTCTCCAAAAATGTGAAAATCACATGGGGAGAAATCTGGGCTATAGGGGGATGCTGAAGCACTTCCCAACCAAATCTCTGTAGTGTATTCCTCACAGAGTTGTCAGTGGGGGGCGCGCATTATCATGAAGAAGGATACTGCCGTTCGATAGAATTCCAGGGCGTTCTGACTTCATGGCATGTCTCAGTTTCTGCAAAGTGTCTTCATAGCGCTGTGCACTGATTGTGGCCCCTTGCTCGAGAAATTCGACAAGCAGAGGGCCCTTACAGTTGAAGAAGAACGTTATCATCACTTTACCGGAACTTGTGTTTGTACGGCTCTGGATTTCTTCAATGGGGGAGAATTCATGTGTTTCAACTGTTGGCTCTGCCGCTTGCTCTCGGGTTCAAAATGGTGGCACCAAGTTTCATCCCCAGTGGCAATATGGGACAGAAAAGCATATTCTTCCTCATGGTATCATTGCAAGTGACACAGTGATGCTGCCATTCTCTGAGTCTTCTGTTCCTCCGTGAGTTGATGTGTAACCCACTGCATGCAGATTTTGTGGTACAGCAGGTGTTTTGTCACAATGCCATAAATGGAACTGTGACCTAGTCCCATCAAAAGACTAATTTCTTCCACAATGATCTGTTGGTTTGCCCGGATATGACCATCCAACGCAGCAATAAGATCAGGAGTGATGACACGATAAGTCTGCCCTGGGCGAGCATCATCGTGCAGTGACACACGTCCCTTTCGGAATCTCTTTTGCCGCGCCAGCCCACACGAACGTGACATGCTGTGTTCGCCGTAAACAACAGACATGCGACGATGAATTTCTCGTCCTCCTACACCTTCAGCAGCCAAAAAGCGCACTACACTTCGCTGTTCTTTACCCACCTCCATTACTGATGTTGGATGACCACACATAGCGCTAACTTTACTTCCAGCACAATAAACAAATGACTAGTGTGCAAGGGCATGTTGTCACTGTGCTTTCTTGAGTCCCCACCAGATGTCCATACCGTAAGCAAATTCCAGTGTTACCAACTTGCGCGCTGTGTGAGTGATGTGTGGTGACCTGTTTTCATTTGACTGCCCCTTATAATACAAATTTTCAAGAATACTTCAGAAGTGAAGAAAGCAATCAGTACTTGTTGCAAGATACTTGCTCACTGGCCTGTATTATCGGTGTGGCCTACTGGTTGCATTAGGATTCTGTGTACACTGACACATGTAAATTACCAACATGGTAACACCACCAGCATTTTTTTATGGAACCTGACGGTTCATTACCGTGTTCATAAGCGCCCTCCACTGGTCCCTATCCTGAGCCACATCAATACAATCCATACCATCCCATCCTATCTCTCTTAAGATCCATTTTAATATTGTCCTCCCACCCATGCCTTGGTCTTTCCAGTGGTCTCTTTCCTTCTGTCTTTCCCACCAATATCCTATATGCATTCCTCTTCTCCACCATTCATGCTACATGCAATATGCAAAGTGAATGATGAGAGGAAACTGTGGGATTTCTGCATGGAATTTGCTCAACTAATGTTACATAATTAAATATTTTGGTAAACTGACAAAATGAAAATCATTTTTATGTATGTTTTATGGCTTTATTAAGTTAATCATACATATACTTCCTTTTTTTTTTGTGATTTATACGTACATCTTTATCACAAAATAAAAGGGAGGAAAATTAATAAATTTCTCACCAGCAACTGGAAACAGTCCTCTCATCACTTGCCTTCAATTTTATGAGACTCAAAAAAGCACATGACATCCATTTTAATTTCAATACTATCTGTGGTCACCTGTAATCGATACAGCAAAGAATTAAAGCAATGCTATGTCCTGCAGGCTTGCTAAAAAAAGCACAATGATAAAAACAAATAAAGAAATTAACAGAATAATGTACTGTACGAGGGGGGACCCAAAAATAACCGGAATTTATTTTTGTTATTTTCTATTTTTGCATTTTTATTGAACTGTATATTAGTCCCCTTCAAAGTATTGTCCATGTGCATTAATGCACTTGTCCTAACGCTTTTGCCACTGCTCAAAACAGTGCTGGAATTCTTGAGGCTGGATACTGTTCAAAGCCTTTAGCGTGTTTTCTTTGACTTCATCCACATCACGGAATCGCTTTCCTTTCAGACTTCTCTTCATCTGTGGAAACAAAAAAAAGTCTGACGGAGCCAGGTCGGGTGAGTAAGGTGGATGAGGCACAATCACCATGTTGTTGCTTGTCAAAAACTGTCGGACCGTCAAAGCTGTGTGGGCTGGAGCATTGTCGTGGTGAAGCAACCAGTTCCCATTTCTCCACATTTTGGAC